TGCAAAATAACAACTGGAAAGGACATTCAGTCATATCGAGCTGACATAAACACTCGAATATTGACTTTATATAATATATAATATATGTAAGTATATTACATAAGTGTATATAAAAAAAGCATATAATAGGGGCTTTGTGTGTGTACCACATTTATGTACTAGAAAATAAACTTTTGTTCACAAACTTCTACTTTTGTCACTCTTTTTGCCCATTTTCGCTTTTATTCCACTTTATTCTTGCTTTTGTGTATACTTTTAGGAATCAACTTGTGTACATAAATTCATGTTTGTATGTATTTTTGTAGTTAATAAGTGTTGCTGAAAACGTAGACAAAATCGTAATTCGATATCCAATATGCGTTGTGCTCATTTTTGTTTGTTTTGTCTTTTATTTTGTTGTTTTTTGCTTTTTGGCAGCTAAAGTTCATATTATATTGGGAGGAAGATTTCATTGCCTTTGGTGCTGCTATTTATATAGTAATACATACATATATACATATATGTATGTTTGAAAAAATATATCACACAAGCTTTAATGTTTTTATACTCTTGCAACATGTTGCTACAGAGTATAATCATTTTGTTCACCTAACGGTTGATTGTATCACCTGAAAATGCATGAAATCGTATTATAATCCCGCTCCCTTCCCATATAACGGTTTTGTTAAAAACTACTTAAAGTTCGATAAATAAATAACCAAATTCGCCAGAGACATTTTGCCCCCGTGATTATACAAGAGGCATTTATAGTAGCCGGGGTCAAAATGGGACAGTGGGAGTGGCAACGCCCACGTATAGATGATAATTGATTTCGGGACCTACTCGACCAATTTTACCCAAAAAATTTGTGTATAACATAAACCTGACGGTCCTATATCCCATTGTGAAAATTATCGGAATCGGATTATTTTACTTTCCAGTACACAAATCATACACCAATAAATATATTGGAACAAAACTTTGCTTTTGAGGTACCCTTGCACGTTACAAGAGTGTAAATGTTCGTTTACACCCGAACTTAGCTCTTCCTTACTTGTTTATAAATATATATCTCCAAAATATACCAGCCAGTTCCTAGACTCTTAAAAATTCTACCTTACCGAATATGGACAGTTTCGGTTATATTTGAAAAATAAAAATTATTTCTAGTTAAATTTTCGAAATTTCGAAACTGTACAAGCGGGAGGGGTCCGATATGTACTCATCCTCACCGCCCAATGGCGCCACTATCATAGCCGGCTATTGTTAAAATATTGTTGACTTCTATTGGCCGAATCAGACTTTAAAAAAATGTAAAAACAATAATATCGGTTAGTAATTTGATTTTTATTTTTTTTTAGTCGATTCGACGACGAATTGCAGAAAACACGCAATGACAACGCATCGACCCACACTTATATCTTTAAAACGACAAAATTAGTCAAATTAAATTAATTAGTTTCCAAAATAGAAAAAGCCACTTGCTGGGCAGAAATTTAAACATATTTTAGCATAGTTAAAGCTAATGAAAAATCGAATATTTGCGTTTGTAGAAATAAATTTTCTACTAAACAAATTTGCCTATTGAATTTGCCGCTCTTGCAAGACGGCGCTAAACACTTTTGCGCCAACCAATTGCCGGCATACACGCTGGCAAAAGTGCGCTCAAGTGCCTGCAAACAGTGCAGTCAGGAAGTCAATCAACATAGACAATCAGCAGTGCTGCTTTTATTTCTAACTTCCAGCAGGACATTTAAATGCAGTGAAACGCAACACACACTCACGTAAGCAAATATACACATGTATAAAGAAAATGGCCGCTAAGTGCAAGAGAAGAAAGTCCGCAACGAACAATACGAAAACTGCGAGTACATATTAGCAATTACTTTAAGTATGCTCATATATTTGTTCTTAAGTGTATTTATCATTGCCGTCGGATCTGTTTGACGCGCACTCGAAAGGACGTCGGAAAGCGGAGTCAAGTCAATGCATTCTTCGCTGTTTGTGGTTGTTGTGTGCGATCTTTGATACTTTTTTTTTGGATTTTGTTGCCTCTCCGCACACATGTTTGACCCTAGTTTGCAAATATTTATTTAGATGTGAAGCAAGCAGATGTTTTATTTTAAATAAATATTGAAAGGGAAATTTTATTTTTGGTAAAAAAAACCGATTTAGCAATTACATGGAAATGGAAATTGTATTGGTATTTTAAGGAATGTGAGAGATATTTTCGTGCTTACTTGTTTGCAAAGATTTTTTTCGAAAACATCAATGAAGCGAGAGTTATTTAGGCGGCTAACTCGTTTTATTCTGACCGCCATGGGTGCACAACTATCAATATGGAAGCTAAAGCACAATGAAACAGAAACTTTTTAAAATTCGATTTTTTAATAGAATAAAATTTGTTATGGTACAAAATTGCGTACCGTTATAAGTTGGCAGTTTAATCTAACTATCGCTGTTAAATTGATAGTTTAACTTAACTTCCCCAATTAAGAAGTAATCTTTTAATATTATATAATAGGTATTAGGAGCAAAATGTTGAGTACTTCTGAAAATTCACCGAAATAACAGATAAACAGTTATCTGAGAGCCAAATAAATAAAGTTTTTGGATGTTCGAAAAGTTTGAGGTTTAGACTTAGTTTTTAACAAATTTCTATGTTTCATCAAAATTTGTAAAAATATTTAAATATTTTCCGAAAAAACTAGAAACTACTGAAGTGTTGTAACACAGATAGAGAAAAAATAAATGGAAGGACGTCGAATAAATGGAGGGAAACTCACGCAAAAACGAAAAATATTTTAAAGAAAAATAAATTGATGTGTATATCAATTTGAAATTTATTCCACTATTTTTGTTTAAAGGAAAACTAAGGACATATTCAAAATTTCAGATCAAGATCTCAAAAATTAAGAGACTAGTTCGCGGACGGAAAGACAGACGGACATGGTCGTCACACTGATCATTTACGTATTAATGTGTTTTAAAGGGTCTCCGACCTTTCCTTTGGGATGTATCAAACTTCGTGGCAACTTAATGTACTTACAAAAAAGTAATTGAATTAACATTTGAATTCAATTTTTATTTATTTTGTAATCCTAAATACGAGAATAAGGAAAAAATAAATGTATTCCCTCACACCGGATTAAAAAAAAAAGTAATAATTATTTTAATCCTAATTATTAAAAACTAAAGAAAGAATTTCTTTTAGAATTAATATTTTTTCACGTTAACGTACTTCATTCAAACCAAAAATAATATTTTAAATTTTTAATCCCAAAAATATTGAATTATTGTAAAAAATGGAAATTTAATTTTTAATCCCACATTTTTGAGTTAAAAAATTCTCAGCTATGCCAGGAATAAATTTTTGTTATTGTGCCTATTAGTATTATTTTCGTAAGGAATCTCAGCCTTCTAACAACAAAGGAATGCTCGCTAAATTTCAACCATCAAATTCCATGTAAAATAATTCAAGCTCAACGAGTTTTTCGGAGTTCAGCAGTTTGAGTACGAAATATGCGACTTCAAACAAGACAAAAATATTCTAACTACTATAGAATTTTCAAACCCTATACAAGAACAACAAGCGAAAACGATCAATTGTTTGACAGTTGAGATGTTACCAGTGTTGTTAAATATCATCATTTTAGATAAAAAATATATAAAATTCAATTGAACTGTATTTTTTCAGAAAGTCTTCAAGAGTTTTTTCGGATAAATCTGAATGTACCTATGTAGGTATACAATCGCTAGAATAAATTTATAAAAATTCAGATTACATATACATATACACATTTTAGTCATATAATCTAATTACTATTCAAGTTTTTTAACGCATTTTTTCATAAATATCCAATGTTAGCTGCTGTGCTCATATCTCTACATTTAATTGCTCATTTATTTCAAGTATGCAACATTAAAAATATGCTTGTTGGCTTGTTAGAGAAATTATATTTAATTTAATATAACACAAATACTATATATTGGTTATATGTACAAGTATGTTGACATATGAGAAATATTAATATTTTATGAAATTTGAATTTCGTAGTACTCTTATACGTACTTAGAAAATCTGACGACAAATATGAGAACTTTATTAAAACACGCAAACACACACACTTCCAAACATAATATGAAGTAGCAAATAAATAAGATTGAATTTTTCTGTTTTTATTCCTTCACGCTTTTCTCTGCCTTAGTCGAACAAATTTGACAGCAGCGAGAAGAAGAAGAGCATGAGAACAACTGACCACCAGCAGCGCGTTCACAGCTCGTGCAATGTTATTTTCTTAACATTATTATTGCTATGTGTTTCACTATTGTTGTTGTTGTTGTTATTTTGATATTTGTTCGTTTGTTCTTGTCCAAAAAGCTGTTTTGTCTCAAATACATAAAAATGAATAGTTTTTGTGACGGCTCGCAAGCAGTCGGCGGCAGCGTTCGAGGTGTGAGCGACCGCTGCTTATGTGGGCGTGTGCACAAGTGTATGTATATATGTATGTACATTTGTAAGTATGCATATGTAACTGAAGCTTTATGTTTTGTTTTTCGTGTATCGCTTATTGCCAAGGTCATGCAGCTTGTACTGCCCGCGGATGCAAATATGATCTTGTGGCAAATTTTCCATGCGCTTTCTTTCACCGCATTTCGTAAAAACCAAAAAGCGAATTTTACATATTTTTACAACCCTGACACTAATTATACGGTTATTTATTTTAGTTGAAAATTGCATATGCAAATAATTTTTGTTGCATTTTATTTTACAAAAATTAAAACGTCTGTAACATAACTGTCACATTCAGGGTTGCATCCCTCAGCGCCATAGTAATGACATCTTAATTTTTTTTTTAATTTTCGTGTAATATTGTTGAAAAATGATGGCAATGACACGCAACGTAATTTTTAAAATAAGTGTAAACAACAAATCAGGGAGCTTAATTTCAGCTTTTTCCCTTATTTTTCTATATATTTTTTCTGAAATAGATTTTTCATATATAATTGATTTTACTTACTCTTTGTGTTCAGCAGCACGATCCCGTTGTCTGCGGTTTTTAAACCAATTTGAAACCTGAAAACAAACAAATTTTAAATCAATAAAAAACATAAAATTTTTAACTTTTATACTACAAACAAAATGTTTTTATCTTTTCAATTTTAATTTTTTTAATTTTAATTTTTTTACAAAAAAATTATTAAATTTACTAAAGATTTTGTTTGCTTTTATTTTTATTTTTATTAATTTAAATATTTAAAAAAATTTGATAACTAATTTATTAAATAATAATATTTATTAATTTTCTTTTATTATAAATATTGTACCTTCTCAACGATTTATTTTGTAAAGTTATGTATACGTACAAAGTTTGAATCAGGTCATCTAAATGATTAATTAAATGTCTGCCATTTGTTAAAAAGTACAACTTAATTAGCTGCATTCAAGCGAAAAACAGAGAACGATTAAGTGGTGAAATTGATAAATTGATACAATGCAAAGCATATGCTACACAAATGCATAAATACCACGTAAATACGTTAATATCTATGTATGTATGGACATACATATCTACGTTAAGAAAATAGTGGCGATTTTGACATTGAAAATTTTGAAAATTTCAAAAATGTGAAAATTACGCTAAACGTTGAAAGCGAGCAAAAATATTTAAATAAGAGAACAAATTACACTGGGTGATTAAAAAATACGAAAATTCGTTATGAATGTGGAAATTAGACTTTTAACTTTTTTTTTGCAGTGTACTGACAAAAAGTTGGTTCCTGCAAAATAGTTTAATTGAAAGAATCAAAGAATTTGAACAAAAAATAAAATGTCAAAAGTTTTGGAAATAACGTTATTTCTAAATATATTTTTTTGCTAGAAATTGTTTTTTTGTAGTTTAACTTTTTTTTTTTTTATTGTGGCTAAACTTTTGATACGACCCCCCCTCCGATTTGCTTTATTTGCTCAGAAAATTTTCTCTACAGGTTCCTAAGCATGCATATTTTTCAGTTTTTTATATAAAGAAATATCATATTTTTATGTTTTATTAATTTGGTATGAACTTAACATAAACTTTTCATTTAAATAATTAATAGTATTAATATTAATATTATTGTAACGGATTTTTCGATAAATCATCTACCTTGTAACTCACTCTTGAGTTCGATCACTGGATTGTTAAGGAAAAGTCCGAATTTAATGGCTATACACTTATCTTTATTTCTAATTCTAACAACTTAACACTTATTGCTCGCCATTCGAGTTTACAACTTCTTGCTTATGTCTCAATTGCTCTTAACACGACAACACTCTAACTAGAACTGTGTTTGCTGCACAATCCGGCAGCCCTTATATAGTAGATCTTTAACAAAACATCGCTTCTAGAACCTTCTAGTACCACTAATTCGTTAACTGGTTGCTTCTGGCAATTTATCGTCGAAACGATTTTGTTCTATCATTCGTGTTCGTCACATTATTTTATAATAATTATTATTTTTTTGTTAAATTTATGGTTTAAAAAGTAATTGAAAAATAGTTTTTTATTTTAATCAAAAATTTTATAGTTTGACCTTTCTTTGTTTGTAATTTCAGTCATTTGAATTAAACACATTGTTTAGCAGTAAACAAATAATTGAATAAATTTTTTTATTTTGTAATCCTGAAAATCCTCATAAAAAATAATGCTTAAAGTATTAATCGCAAATAAAATAAATCTCAAGAAAAAAAATTGTATTCCCAAAAACCGGATTTAAAAATTATTTTTAATTCCAAATACCGTGTAAAAAAAACAATTAATCCCAAGCTTATAGTGAAGAATTAAAAAAATAAATTGTTTTAAAATTTAAATTTTTTTGCGTTTATGTAGTTTATGTTCTACTATTTTGGTCATCTAAAATCTAGTTTTTAGTCCAACATTTTTGAATGAAAGAATTCGCAACCCTAATTATGATTTTAATATATTTTGCATACATATATACATACATTTCATAAATATATTTAGGGTAAAAATATTTTTAAAACTTTTTTTATCAAAATTTGTTTACCGACCTGTGTAGTTGTCAGTCCTGTAGCTTCTGCTAGTTCACGTTTCTCACGCGGGGAAGGATATGGGTTGTGGGCATACCAGTCTCTTAATACAGATCGAGATTTCTCCTGTGGGAAGAGAAATGTTTAGTTTTTAATTATACATTTTTACAATAACAATTTTTAGCAGTTTAGCATGAAATTTTATTTAGTTTTTACACCTCACTCTAAATAAACTTTATGACTCAAACATGTTTTAATTTAAGATCAAATTTATTTATTTATATTTAAAGTCACGTTCGTTTACTGTTGCTCACTTTACTAATAAGGTCATGTTTTCACTAAAAATGAAATTATGAAATGGCGTGGTGTACTTTTGTCGATATTACAAGAATAACGTATGTACTTATAATTTAACTTATTTTATCAGAGAATATTCTGTGGCAATTTACAAATTTATAAATTGAATTATACATATATTCGGAAAGAGTTGGAGAAGAAAAACTAAAATTATATACTTATGCCTGTACATATATGTAAATTTTTACCCATACAACTTGTAAAGGTCATAAGTTAATCAAATGAAGCCATTTATGTAACAAACATTACTTCAAATATCTTTCCATAACCACCCAGTAGCTTTAAAGAGCTGCCAAGCTGTTGTCTTTAAGCCAGCTTAATTGTTGCTGATTATCAATCCAACTTAACAACCTGCAAAAGCACATACAGAATGCCGCAGGACACGTAAAAGTTTTAACTTCATTTCGAGAAACAAGTTCCGACACTACTACGATTTCATACAGAATTTCCCCCTTTTTTGAAAAGTAGAGCAAACGAAGGCTCATGTGTGTGAAGAAACTTTACCGGCAGCAGCAATTAAAAAAGTTACCCTTACTGTGAATAAATAAAGTTTAAAATGCAACGCTGTTTGCCTCCTCGTCTTCCGAAATTCAACAAGGCACATACACAAACGCGCACACATTTAGATACACTCACTCACCTTGAAGCAGTAACTCGTCTCTTCGCCATCCCAAATTGTGCGTGGCAGTGGAAATTTGCGACGTACGCGATATTTACCAACAGCACCTAAAGGTCTTCCGCGCAGTTTCTCGGCTTCCACATAATGCGCTACATTTCGAATAAAATAAAAGTGTCCAAAATTAATACAAAAATCAAAAAAAAAAAATATTGATAATATACAGAATATAAAAACATATAACATTTTGCGTTAAGTAAATAAAATGACATGTATATTCACCTTTCAACCATAGCGCCTGCAATTTAGCATGATTATGTGGTGAGAATTGATGATGCTCGAGCAGACGATATAACTCCTTATACTGTCCACGATGGAATGCAACAACGGCCTTCGCTTTCAGCACAGACTCGTTCAATTGCAGTTTATCACATTGCGGTAAGGACCATAGGAAGCGGCCCAGTCTTTCGATGTTACCAGCTTGTTGGAGTACCTAGAACCAATATAAATATAACGAAACAAAATATAAAATTATCAAACTGTTAATATTTGTTAGTAACTTAAACACTTTTATTGCCGCCTCACTTACCTCACACACGCAAGCCACTTGTTCCTGCGTGAAGCCAAAACTGGGCAACGTTTCACGCCCATTACTGCCACCATTCGTATTGCTGATATGACCACCGCCACCACCACCGCTGATAGGTCCAATAATACTGCCATTGTGTCCCAACATGTCTAAATTATTATTGCTTGAATTGTTGTTATTGTTATTGCTAAGACCTGCTCCTACGCTGATCAAACCCGTCGGACTGTATGGTGGCGTTTGACGCGCACTCAATACGGCAGCATTGGCGGCAGCCAAGTCGTAGAAATCTGTGGCGGTATGTTGTAGCATTTTGTTGTTGTTTTTATTTCCTTTAATCAGACTTTTTTTAGTTTTCGATAACAAAAAAAAACTGTTTACAAGAGTTAATGGAGCAAGCGACGCATTGCTTTAGTTATTGGAAAACCTGCAAAAGAACAAAACAACACACATACATATTTTAAAAGGTCATTCAGAAAATTCATATTTTTATATATTTTAGAATTAAAAATATTATGTAATGATTTAATAAATGTTTTGCTAGTTTTGACTGGTGCACTTAATACAGCTGAGCACAAAAACATTGCCCAAATATATTATGTTCTGGTGCGAAGTGATAGAAAGTGTTTACCACTAGTAAACGTGAAAGTACCATAATTATTCAGTTTTCCCAAATCACTAGAATTTTCAAACATTGTATTAAGCCACAAACCCATCGTATACATTTTTCCATGAAGTAGAAGATATTTATGAGTCTAAATACGAGGTGTGTTAAAAATATAACGGAAGTTTTAAAATTTAGCGGGTTTGTGGAGAATTGTCAAAATGTACTCATTGTTTTCTTTGTCTGTAACCGCCAAGCTTAGACGTGAAAGCTTACACTTCGTTGCATGTTCGTGAACTTTTGGCCAAAAACAATAATGTAACGATGCCCCAGCCTCTATATTCCCAGACAGGCTCCATGTGACTTTTTCATATTTCCAGAAATTAAGAGAAGCATGAAGGATCGTCGTTTTACAAGAGAGATATGCCAAAAATCGAGTTTGTCACATGTTTCGACGACTGGAATATGCGCTAATATAAGTGCATAATATCGAAAGGGGAGTATACGTACATGTACATGTATGTGAAAGCGAAGAGCAAAACGACTATGGACGAAAATAAAAGCAACAAATAACAACATTTGTGATGACTTTATAAATAAGTATGATAAAATAGACTCTCCAAAACAATTCTGCAATATTTTCCATTCAATTCCGTAACTGTGATTCCATTGAAAACACAAAATGTCAAGCAAATTCGTTGTTCAATTGTTTTTCAACATGGTAAAAATCGCCAGAGAAACTTTTTGCACCGTAAACAAACAGCTACCAAACACCCACTAATTGGCATATGGAGATCAAACTTCAAACGAACCTAGACAAAGGTTGTACCAATAAAAAAAAAGATTTTTTATCGATTCGGTTCGTACTTGGTATATATGGAACATTGTCGATTGCCTATTGTAATAGGCTTCAATATTAAAAAAAAAATTTTTGTAATGGATGCGTGAAGTCACTATGGAAATATTTTCTCAGAAAAGAACTGTGTAATGAAAGTTAATAATACTCGATAACAGTAACGTAAAAGAACAGTTGATATTGTCAAAAGAGCAAGAGGAAGTTTTACTAACATGAGCGAAAGATGCCTGTGTTCTCTCGATTTACACTCAATTTTAGTTTACTTATAAAGTGTTTGAATTTTTTTTATGGTTTTGAGAAAAGTTTACTTGATGTTTATTTTCATTTATCATATATTTATTCATATAAATCCCAAAACGAGTGTAGATCTGGCAGTCGATCTCAAATTACACCTCATTATTGCCAATAATAAAAACACACTTTTTTTACATTCAATCCTAATCAAAAAAAAAAAACATTGGTGTTCATCTTCCTCTTGGTTTTTCTTCTCTCTGTCGTTCTGTCTCTCTCTCTGTATCTTTATCTTTCTTTGTGTCACTGTAATGCTCTGCTCTGCAAGGTTTTCTCGTTTTTTCATACTTGTACTCGCTCTCATGTGATATATTTTCACTCACGAGCGTGCATCCCAATATGTCGTGCCTTTCGAAAATTGGCCGCCTGCCAACAGTAAATTCTCAAATAACGCAGATCATTTCACTCAGCACAACACAAGTAAGCAATAAATAGAAGTTTCGTATTTCATTTTTAGAAATTACTAAATGTTTACATATAATTCGAGTATTTTTCCTCACGAAAATAAGGCAATCAAATGTTTAATTATGTAAAATTTTAATTTTTTTTTAGAAATCTGTGTGTTATATGTCGCTTGTTTTATGTTTACATATATAAAATATTTAAGTTGAGTGACGAAAACTAAACGCTCTGTGTGTCAGGAGGTGAAGAATGTGTGTGTAATTAGGCACGAAATTAAAATATTATTTTTGAGGCATTAAATTTTTTGAGACTTTTTAAATTTTTATTGTAGACCTTAACAAACTTTAGCTCATATCTATACATAATTCATTTTTAAAAATTAAAATGTTTATCTTAATACAAATTTTCTATCCGGTCAATTTTAAAAGTTGTAGCAAATTTCCGTTCATTTTATTTGCTACATTATGAGGGTTTCCCTTTATATTTCGAAATTAGAAATTAGAGAACAAAAACAAATATTTATTATAGAAAATCGCTTTATTGTTTTTAAAAATATTCTCCGCTAAGATCTTAACAGTTTTGTATGGTATCTCCAAAACCGTGAACCGCCTCTTCAGGTGTCGAAAAACGTTGATCTCTTAGTTTATTTTTTACGTACGGAAATAAAAAGAAGTCATTCGAAGCCAAGTCAGAACTATACGATGGATAACTCATCAAGTCGATATTTTGCGTGCTCAAAAACGCAATTGTTTCAGTCAATGTGTGAGAGCTAGCATTGTCGTGGTGAAGACTAATCCGTCTTCGACGGTTAGTTTTCATGGTTTCTTGAAAGACAACTTGCAAAGAAATGGTTGTATATTACTCAGAATTTACTGTTGTACGTTGTTCTAGTGGTAAGTTTGTGACATGTCCAGTTTTTACAAAATACAACAATTTGCTTGGAAGAGCTTCATGCGCGAACAACTTTTGTTGGATTCGGCTCTTCTTGAAACACCTATACGGTCAACTGCTGTTTACTTTCCGCTTCATACACGATTTATCAGCTGTCACGATGTCATAGACCTGTTTCGAAGCACCGCTGTTGTATTTTTCTAACATTTCTCTCGACGAATCGACACGAGCCTTTATTTGAGCGTTTGACAAATTGTGTGGGATCCAACATGAACACATTTTATTTACAGTTAAGTGTTCATGCAATTATACTGGTGACGCTGGTGCCTATAGTTGTAAAAAGCAATCGCGCGAAAATGTTCGCGATTTAATTCCATTTTTTGGCCGAGATGAATATTTTAAGTTACTGTCAAACTTTACGTTTAAGTTTTGAATTGCCAGATTGTAATACTAAGGTTGCCAAATCCCAAAATATAAAAGGCAACCTACGTATTCTGTAGTTATTCTTCAAACTAAATACGTAACAAAATACCTTTTTCAATAAAATTCTGTAGATATCTTTGAGGTCATAATTTCGAAGTTTTATGTTTTTTCTATTTTCGAAGTAAATATATTTTTTTGGTGGTTTTATACGTATGCAAAACCATGATGAACAAATTTATATGATTTTCGCCCAAAGTTTTATATATAGAATTTGAAAAAAATTCCATTACAAACCCTGCTCTATTAAAATTATGAAAATCTTCCATTAATTATGCTTTTTAACCTGCCATTAGCATAATCAAATTAAGTTTTTTATTGCAAACTCACTTCCGCCCATAAATTTAGAATATTAATTTGCTTGCAGCTCATTAAAAGTGGCAACAAGCTGAGTTATTTCTCCTCATTTTTATCAAAGCAAGCAATTTTCTTTAGGCTGGAAAATTTGCGTGATTCTTTACTTCTCAATAAAAATAAACTCACATTAACAATTGTGTAACAAAAAAACGTATGCAAGCAGGTGTACATATGGTAGAATACGAATTAAAAAAAAAGATTATCTATAGTGTATTCGAAAGCTTACTAAAAATATATACAAAAATTCTGTTCATATTTCCTTACGAATTTTTAGGTAGATGTATAATTATTTACAAAATTGGTTTAAAAATATCTTTAATTACAGAAGATATTGTCTAAATATCTTAATCAGCTCAGAATTAAACTTTTTTTATTTTAATTTCACATTTTACACAGTAAAGTTTTTAATAAAAATATTTTTATAATAGCATTAAATAAAATAATAATAATTTTTAATTAAATTAGCATTTTGTCTTATCGTTAAAACCATTTCCTTAAATAAAAATATCATTAGAAATATTTATTTTAAAAATTTCCTCAGAATTTTTAAATATTTGTAGATATAATTTTATATATTTAATCTTTTTGTATTTAAAATAATTTTTTATCACCTCAATGAAGGCATTTTCTAACTTCATAATTATTTTTAGAAGTATGATAAGAATTTTTAACTGTTTTTTAGTTTACATTTGTTTTATTAATTTTTTTTAGAATATATTTATCAACGAAGAAGTAATATATTTAATATCATGTTAATAATAACATCTTTTAATTCACAATTTTTCAATAATAATCATATTTCTTACTTCTTCCGATATAATATTTCCATTAAAACTTATTCCACACTCTCGTTTACACACTTGATTCGCTTTCGCTTCCTTTAATTGGTTTTTCTTTGATTTCTCGTATACTTAGACGCACAATCGCTTGAATCAAAACACTTTTTCGAAAATACACCACTCATACATTATTAAGAAGAATTCTAAAATTACACAACCTACGTCGCACGCTGCTTAAAATCATTCTCTTCCACTGCCACACTACACAAAACACATGGTATTACTTTCCTCAGAGGGGTCACCATAACGTACAATTCGGATCGTATGTTTTGGCATCACACAACGTTCGTGTAAACGCAGAAATCAGCAGATCGTATTCACTTTCAGTGATCTCGCTGCTGCACGATCTTTCCAATTATATTGGCTGTTATTATTATTTACATTTTATCGCATTATTATACATACCTATTTTTAGATACATACGAGCATGTATATAGGTACATACATACATGAAAAAGTGCTTATTTCCACTAGGTTATGAAATAAATTCGATACTTTGACTTTCACGCGCAGAATTTAACTAGTTATAAAATGTGGAGTTTGATACGAAAGTGTTCACGAAAAGAAGCGTTGAAAGATGTTGAAAGTTTTGAGAATTTTTAATACAAATACTATAATACATTTTTCAGACATTAGCCGGTTCTGATCTTTTGTCAAAAAAATTACATGTAAAAACAACAACAAAGTTATCGATTTGAATTCGTGCAAGAGAGTATACGTATGCCTCATTTTGTTTTGCATATTTTAGATCAGTTTTACTATTGTAAATCAAATGACAAATGAAAATACAGATTTCTTTTTTTTCTTGTATTTTTAAAACTTAAGACTTAAAATTCAATTATAATAAATTATAGAAAATAA